GGGTCCGGGCTGGGGATTCGAACCCGCCACCTTAGGTGTAGGTGGCTGGCGCCTTAGCTGGTTGAGCTATAGGCGCCAAGCCATCATCTTTTCTTAATAGTTTTGAAATGTACCATTGCATTATGCACGTTAGGTGAGGTCCCCCCAAATACCTTCCTTTCTCCTGCCCATCCCCCTCCCCTCCCTTCTCTCTCCTTTTCCCGTCTACTTTCTGGACTGTAGTTATGTTTTACCATTCATATGAATGTGTAGGTGATTATATGTTGATTTCATAGTAGTATTGAGTACATTGGATACTTTTTTCCCATTTTTTTTTTCTTTTTTTTAAGAGACAGAGTCTCACTTTGTTGCCCTGGGTAGAGTACTGTGGCATCACAGCTCACAGCAACCTCCAGCTCTAGGGCTTAGCCAATTTTCTTGCTTCAGCCTCCCGAGTAGCTGGGACTACAGGCGCCTGCCACAACGCCCAGCTATTTTGTTGTTGTTGTTGCTGTTGTTGTTTCAGTTTGGCAGAGTCCAGGTTTGAACCCAACACCCTTGGTATACGGGGCCAGTGCCCTACTCACTGAGCTACAGGCACCGTCCTTTTTTCCCATTCTTGAGATAGTTTGCTAAGAATATGTTCCAGCTCCACCTAGGTAAACATAAAAGATGCGAAGTCTCTATCTTTTTCTTTTTATGGCTACCTAGTATTTCATGGTGTACATATACCACAATTTGTCCAATTTTTTTTTGATGTACTATGCAATGGTACTTCATCCACTGTGAGTTTGGGGCACTAATTGCATTGTCTTCTATTAATTTTATGTCACTCTTTTTTATCTATCATCATGCCTGTTCCCCCAGGCCCTGCAAGAGCCTTCCATGTCCCTCTAAGTGTGCTGGGAAGATATCAGAAAATGTTAAGGGGCGGGGTTGGGGTGTTTACAGCTGGAGCATCCACAGAATGGCCCGCGAAAGAGTCAAGAATCTCCTCCAGACAAGGAGATAAGGCGTAGTAGCATGAAATTATTTAAGTAGCATCTTAAACACACTTTCTTCTCTTAACTAGGAGAGCAGTTATAAGAAGAGTCTAGGATCGGCACCTGTGGCTCAAGTGGCTAAGGCGCCAGCCACATACACC